ATATTCCTTACCTAACAGTTGAGGGCAGGGAATAAGCCCTCTGGTTGTAGGATATTTCCTAAAAACCATCCACACCCAATGGCAATGCTCCAGAGAGTATTAAACTTAATAACAAGAAAGAAATGTCAGCTCTGGAAGTCTCACTGCATGTTAGCTTTGTGTTTCAGAATGGTATTGAGCAACGGAGTCCTTACCAGACGCTGTTTGTGCTGTTCTCCATCTGCACCCTCCATGGCTTTGATTCATAAATTGCCTCCCCGTTAGTGTCCAGCCACCTCCCAAGTGCCAGAAGTCTCTCTTGGAAGATGGGAACAATCACCCCTTCTTTTGTAGGGCCCACATTGAGAAGGTAGTTGCCACCAAAACTCACAGTCTGCACTAGCTCCTGTGACAGATAAACCAAGGTAACAAAATGTTTTATCTTCACCTCTGACAATGAAGACACAGGCAACTGAGGAAGCTTTGTCCCCAGTAAATACTCCTTTAACTTCACCAGTGCTGCAAAAAACACGACAACTCTTTTTGCAAGCAGCAGGAGGAAAGAAACCTCCAGTTCTCATCCATTTGCCCACATGTGTTATTTTGACTTAAGATTTCTTACCTCAATGATACTTGCTTCATCCATTAACTCATCAGTGTGCATGTTGCTTCGATACCCCCAGGAAAGCTTGTCAATAGAGGAGCACATCTCCCACTTGTGCGTCAGCAGGGTACCTGGTTTGTATTTGTCAGCACAGTTGTAGTAGCCTCCATGATGGCAGGAGCAATTATTACACCACCGATCATTCACAACAACAGTGTCCTGAAAAGAGAACCACAGCTCAGGAGAGCATTTTGTCTTGAACTTTTCAGCTTGCATTCATCCCTCCTAAGTTAAGTGAGGCATTCAGGATAGAAGGCTAAATATGTAAGGCCTACGCCTCCTGTTGCAAGTTCTGATTTAGATACCAGAGCCTTCTCACAAGAGCAGAGCACAGGCTTTTTATTTTTGATGAAAGAATAAAACATGTGGTCAAACGGAGTTCTGATCTGACCACAGTCCCATCTCACCAGTAAAAGCCATGAAGGAGAGCGATACCTTGACAGGACTATCATTATAAAGCCAGGCAAGGAAAGAGGTAGAATTCCAGTACGACTCCGGAGCATCCCACTCTCCATCCGACCAAATCAAATCTGGTTTGTATCTAACAGAGAGATGAATGTTATTTCAAAATGGCTTCTTATGTTCTTCTACCCCGAAGGAAGCCTGCCACAGCACTGCCTTTCTTACTTCTGGAATCTATTTTCACTTCCTCTTCCCATTGCCTGACATTATGAGGAGTTTTATGCTATCATATCATAACAGTGTGTTGATCACATCTGAATACAGGATGTCATTTTTTCTGAAATGGAAGATTGCATCTCA